AAATTAAAACCAGCTTAGCAGTTTATATGTAGTTGGACAATAAAGTCTTACATTAACAAGAAGATCGTTTTGGCTTCCACAAAATGACGAGATTTAATTTAAGTAAAAAAGAGCTGAAGGTTTTTGCTGAGGTTTGGACATGTCTAGCATCTGCCCAATGTTCGTAGACCACTTTTGATTGTAGATGGTCAAGGGCGTATGTTCTTATGGAGTCAAATGGAAATTATGTTCAGCTGGGAGGATGGGACTTGGGTGCCAAAACAAGAACTCCTTCATCTTAGAGAAGAGATGTACAAAAAAATGGTGGCGAAGGGTCCAATAGTAATACCAAGGACTTTACAAAGAAAAAGGAAAGAAGCGGAGGCACAAGCGGAAGCAGAAGTAGGGCATATGTGTAGTTGTCAATTGCTTATTAGCGACCCACTCTTTGAATAGACTAGTTTATCTACTGTTCATACGCTCTTTCAATTAAATATGTTTCCGTGCACGTTGCTTCCCGCCGCAGCAATACCTAGCGCCGCATCGACCAATTGAGCTCTCAATAGAATTTCAGGCGGGATAAATTTCGATCTGGTAAAGACTTATGAAAGTCCCATCTCAACTACCTGAATTGACAATAGTTATCAGCGCTGTTCCGTTTCCTGCATCGCTGACGCGACAACACTCGGAGGTGTGGCTCGTTAAGACAAATCACCGGTGTAGTCAATGCGGTATGTCCCATACAATTGAATTGATAGGCTCACAGGACTCCTTTTGTATGGCCGTTACTAACAAACACGTGCAGCGAGCCAAGCCTAGCAGCATGTGGTATTCCAATATCTCTTATATAGCATTACGTCCTCGTAAAGTGGGAATGGAATGGTCTCAACTACACTTTTGTCAAGTGGGCTGTGAAAAACAGGATCTGGTGTTTGAGATGATACCGGTTTCTTCAAGCTGTCATAACATTGAGAATATTGTAATAATAAACAGATCAGATGAAGTCATCTACAATGATTAGGTTAAAAGTAGACTCAATTCTCAGAAATTGCCTTATTTTACTCCTAATATAACACAAGCATCAGATCGGACAAACATACCAGTAACAACGCCTTTCTCTACTCTGATGGATATGTCAAATCGCATTAGTAGCATTGTTTGTGAAAATCGTACCTGTCCAAGTAAGTCTTTCGGAGTAAGCACCCGCTAAATTCAAACATTTACATCGTCCATCAACGTTTCAAATATCCTCCAACAATCATTTAGTGAGTTCATGATTGGTGAGTCGATAAGGAACTTGAGACAAATACTACGTCTCCTTTGCGCATGGTGGTGAATCGTGGTCTGTTTCAATGATTCGGCTGATTTAGTTGTTGTTGGGCATCTCTCTTTTTTCGAGTACCTGCCTTTTCACCGGAGGTTCGCTTTGGCGTTCTCGAAAGCATTCTCTGTTAAATAATCGAGTCATGTGAGCAGGGTCACGGGATCGACGAGATCACCTGCAACTTGAGTATACAGCAATCAAACTATGTACCAATTAAATGTCAAACCCGCATATTTGTCTTTACGAACAGAACAAATTTTATACAAAAAAGGCGAACTTTTTTATCTTAATTTTGTGCGCAAAATAATCAAAAAATAGGTTTCTATATTCGCATACGAAAAACTTGTGTGGGTTCTGGACTGAGACCGCCCCAAACTGATTGTCTCTGTTCCTATATGTTACATGATTAGTTAAATAACAATCGCTATAAACAAGTTTTCGTACATACAGACTTGATAAGCAGTGAATAGCATATATTAGTATGACGAGATGAAGTTTTGAATTTATCAAATATCTAAACATATGTTTTTAAATAAAATTTACCTCAGAGTGTATTTGCAAACAAAGTAATAGTCATTGAGATAAGGTTCGACAATAGACTGACATAATAATCTTGACAAAAGACACCATCCATTCAAGCAGTGTCCAAAATAGAATAATACATGCTGGGTATTTTGCTACACATCTTACTTTTATGCAGCAGGCCAACCAGCATCACTTACTCCATTTCTCTTCAGAATGCGTTTGCACTAATGGTACATAAACGCAACGCCTTACAATTACCTAATATTTAGACAGCTATACAATATCTACTAATATAATAGATGCTTATATTCTTCAATCTCAATTAATGTATTTGAATATATTTTTTATTTCGATATATCCAATCTAACAATAGTCCTCCCTTATACTTTCGAGCAAAATTAGACTGCTATTATGCTTGTCGTACTTTGTCGGTCGGGCTCTGCACAACTGCTTTTATAATTTAAATAAAACAAAAAGTGACATGGATGAAATCTTAAAATGGATGAGACAATCACTTGACTAATTCTTACCAGCATTAGAACAGAACTAAGTCGCTAATTGCACAGTATGATTTAAATGACGTTTATAACGCGTATGAAACTGGTTTTTACTGGGAATTAGAACCTAACAAATATCTTCCCAGTGCTTGTATTACTGGCCTAAAAGTAGACTCGCAGTAATGCTTCCGTGCAATGTAACCGGCATCATAAATTGCCTGCTGTTTTCATTCATCGATATAAAAATTCAAAGCATATCCGCAACGTTGATTAAAACACACTATCAGTATGTACACAGTGGCTCTCTTTATAGTGGACCTCCGTTACAGTTATTGTGGGAAACTTTTTTTCCTCCTAATTAAACTAGCTCTATATAGTGTATTTACATAGAAACTATGCAGATTTCGGTTAGTGGAGGAAATATGCTTGATTAATTATAGTCCAGAGCGCCTCTATATAGTGTATGTAGTACGAAATCGCTATTACTATATTGTGGATTTTCGTTCGATATAGTGGAGGGGTAATGATTAGTCAGATTAGAACGAAGAAAGTTTTTCTTCTTTGTCATGGATGAACAGACAGTTGATATGGCTCTCTCGCAGTCTACAGTCGATTGCCGATAATTCGACCGCTTGCGGTCAGCGGTCATCGGTCGAATTAACGTAAAGATCGAATTAACGAATATCCAATCAGATATACTTAATGGTAACACAAATTTATTATTGAAAACTTAACATAAGAAACTTGTAATAGATGGTTGCTTAAGCAAAGATAAACGATGCAATTCAATTTGATTGATAAGATTTAGCGAGTATGGCGTCACACCGGTAAGAGCATAGCCATTCTCTATAACAGCCGACACCCATAATGATAGGGCCTCTTCCAACGTTTGCCATTTTGGCCTTCGGTTTCTTAACATTTTAGCATAAGGTTCATTAATATCGATGTTTATCCATTTTTCTGATCGAGCTATAATATTCTGAATGGTTGTTTTTTGCTGTACGATATTCTATAGCCAATTCCAAGTTAGATATGATGGAATAAAGAATCAGCCGGTCGGATAATCGAAATTTTTTATCACAAAATTAATACAGCCAGTCGAATAATCGGAAAAAGCTAATCAATTAACCCTTAAATGGAAATGATTGACCATGGTCGAATTAACGAACGTAATTGTAATACTATTTATACGTATTGGCTGAATAGAAATTATTTAAGTGGTCGAATTAACGAGTAATCGAAATTTCCTAAGTTCGATCGAATTAAAGGAAGAAAAATCATATGAAAAAATCGGGTCTCACTCAAGGCGATCGAATTACCGGAAAGGTCGAATTATGGGGGGTCGAATTATCGGCAATCGACTGTAGGAATAAAGGTGGTCAAGAAACATTCAAAAATCGTGTTGCCTTGACTGGGGCAAAGTATGTAATTGAACAAAAATAATAAAGCAAGGTCTATTACTTGTTATAAAGAACTAAGAGAACTATGATAATACGAGAGTTTCTATTATTTTAACAATGTGTGAGATTGTTTGTTAATAATAAAAAATAATAAACCGCTTTTTAATCAAATTCGCTAGTGTATGTCACATGATATATTATCAAATACACTGTATGGTGAGATTTCTTTTTTGTGTTATAGTGTAGAAAACTGTTGGATTTTGTGTTCTAATCGTGGATTAAGCGCGTGAGCGAATCGATGCAGAAACAATTGTTAAGGGTATTTCACATAAATTAGTGGACAGCAAAGGATTAAACAACATCAAATTGCGTTTTCTCCTACTAATTATTCGTTTCTTTAAGTTTAATTACAGAAAATATTTGTGTAAAAATAGAAAGATGCGTTTATCAATTTTATTGAGACTTTTACTTATGCAATTGATTGGGTTGCAGAATTGCGGCCGAAAAATGTAATATACAGATAAGATGCTGGAAACGAGCTAGTATTCTACCTGACGGGTTGGAAGATCACATCGATGAACCATTGCACTGGACGATGAAATTAATCAAATCGTCCTTGATCATGCCGTCATAAGAGCAGAAGATTATATTAAACTTGATAATATTTTAGAAACAAGCAATATGCTCAATGATAATAAAATTATTGTAGCCGTTCAGGTGGTGCCTGAGAATGAAGGAGAAAATGAAGCTTCGATAATATCTAATAAGGTTGCTTAGAAAGCATTCAACGTTTACTCGATTATTACGGCAGAATAGTGATATAAAAGTAGGCAACTTATTCGTTCAGGATTAAAAAAAGAGAAGACTTCTTCAACGCAAACTGTTTTTTCTTTTTTGAAATTATTTATTTTTTAAATAAAAATCAACATATTGGTCACGCAGTTTTCGATAAGTTGGTTCTCTCGCCAAGTCGGTTTATCATGCATAACCAATTTATCGAGCTTCCCTGTGTATAGCCAAATACTTCTTATTGTAATTTCTTAACAATTATCGAGAATTCGTAGTGTCAATCCATATATTTACTTTGGGAGCTCAACCCCGCTTTCATAGTAATAAATGAAGGGTATGTTGCAAAATCGATGACGTTACCATTAGAGCATGTTTTCCAGGCGTTTGGTTCGTGTAACAAAACAATACACTCATACACTCGTCCACCATCAAAATACATCTTTTCGAAAACCAGACACAGATCGCTAATGTCCGCTAACCCTGCACATGTCGCAACAACCTTTTCAAGCGTGGCAGAACCAAGCATGGAATTACCAACAGCCACCAGCACAACAGCAACAACAGCCATCTCAGCACCAGACCGCGCTCAACTTGATGCAATCGCCAACTGATATTTATATTCCAACACAATTCGACAGACAGTTGGCGTACCCAATGCAATTTCCAAATCCACAACAACTGCAACAATCATATATGAATGGTTTAAATCCCGTTCTATATCAACGAGTGCCTACGGATCCTATTCAGCAGCATTTGTCGAATAGTACTCCGTTCACTCAGCAAGATCTGTTTATACAACCACAGTCCCAGTCGTCGACACAACAACTAGCACAAACATTATCACCACGGCAATTAACACAGCAACAGCTATCACAACAGCAAATATTAGCACATCCACTACAAAGGCAACATTTACCTGCTTCATTTATTAATCAACGCCAACTAGCTCCACAACAACAGCATCAAAGTCAACAGCAACATCATCAACATCAACGACACCAACAGCAGTTGTCTCAATTACTCACGCATCAACTGATGTCACCTCCTGCAAGTGTCACATCGCTTCAATCACATAACCTATATCATGTAAACAAAGTTAATCAAAACCAACAACAACGAATACAACAACAACAAATACAACAACAACAACAACAACAAATACAACAGCAACAGATACAGCGGCAACAGCAACAACAACAACAACAGCAACAGCAGCAGCAACAACAGCAGCAGCAGCAACAACAACAACAACAAGCACCACAACATTTTACGATACAGGGTTTATATGAGCGCGAGACAGTGCAACAAAATCCCGACCAAAATACGCCAAAGAGCGGTCAGGCTGAACAATCAGAATATATCCAACAGCAGATCAGTCCAAATGTTGGCGATCAGATGGTTATGAGACAAGTGTTTCCTGGAGCTCATATGCAAACGCAGGTCCACGTTCCAACACAGACGGTTCCAAATCAACCCATTTTGAAACAAGAGCAGGTTGTACATGTCCGTCACCAGCCTCAGATCCAAACTCAAAGACAATCTCCACATGTAATTCAGCAGCAAGGTCGCAAATTGTCAAAATCTCAAACGTTGCAACCACAGCCTTCAAACTTTGTTTTTCATCGTCCTTCATCCCCATCTTCCCCATCTCCATCATTACCGTCATTACCGTCATTACCATCATTACCGTCACTACCACCTTTGTCTCATAATGTCCTTTGGTATTTATCTGAACATTACCTTCAAACTCTCCCCACGCTTTCCCCACACTCTTCTCTCGCATCCTATCCCAAATTAACCCCTCAACAGCAAGAATGCATTCTTATGGCTATCAAGTGTTTGACGCTTGTACTCGCATGTAAAAAAAATGATCAGAAATATTCACCAGAAGTTGAAGCTAGGACACGATTTAGATTAAGTGAGATATTATTTATGTACACGGATAATACGATCGAAGCTGAACAACATTTGGGCAATGCTGTAAGTGAGATTCGAAGGGAGGGATTGGTTGTTTTAGTGTTTTTTTCCCAGTCTGTTCACATTACATATATTCAAATTGTTAATCTACGTATTTATTTCAGCTGACGATGATTCAAAAGGTAAGTTTTCTTAGTTATTATCCCAGTTTTTTCTTTAATGTACAACTAACTAATGATTTACTTTCCCTCATATTTTGTCTACAAGCTTGATAAGCTGATTAATCTAAAGTTTCAAATGCTGGAGCTTCGATGCCGAATATTAAACTCAAATAACAATATCAAAGAAGCTACGGATATTCTTGAATCAGCATTTACAGAGGCAGTAGAGTAAGTTTTGTTGATAGGCGGGCGAGATGTGACCTAGTCTGTTCGGTGTTTCTATGAAGTGGTCTATAAACTTTATTTTCAAGACAAATCCTACAACGATTTTCCTAATAATTTGGGATTTTTTATCTATACAGACGTAACATGCCCAATTGGATGTATCAATTTTTACTCCTACGTGCCAGTTACTTCAATTCATCTCGAGACTTTTCTTCCTGTACGTCGGTGTTAGATCAAGCTGAACTTATAGCTAACCAACGAGGAGATATTGACATGAAAGCCTGCATCCTAATTTCCAAATCCCAGTACGCTCTAGCACGTCCTACACTCCAATCACTCGCTGTTGTTCGAACCTGTCTTTCCTCCCTCGCTTCGGCATGTTTCCCCCGTACAGCAGCACAGCAACAGCCATATAATGGGGTCATAAACAAGCAGTTGCATTTGCAATATTTTTTGTTGTATATTGTGTATAATATGCACATTGGAAATGTTAAGGCGGCGATGGAAAGGTTGAGTGAAGTTCATCAAGTTTTAGATGCGAAAGATGACGATGAGAGCGATGATGAATTAAACGGTTTTACTATTGTGAGTTTAAGCGTCTAGGGGGTATGGGACGTAATGAGAATAGTAGAATAGAATTATTATTGTCAATTTTTAGATTGAGTAATGGCTATTGGTACTAAATGGGGATTCTGTCTTAATCTTGTGTTAGGCAAGATTCAAGTGCATAAAAATTCTTCAAGAGATTAGTATATGTGCGTCATTATACTAATCGGATTATCTATTGCAGATACAAATATCGGCTGTCCCAATCGCTAGTGGTCCGGCTGCAGCTTCTGATTCATCAAGACCAACAATGCCAGTAATTATACGATGGTTATCAAGAAAGGAAATGTATTCGTTGACGTTTTTGATATCTGGATTGTGTAACAGAGGTGATACGAGTAATCTCAAGGCAACAGCGTTCTTAACAGAAGGGCTGAAGATTGTTCAGAGTAAATATAAAGATTCTATGGTTTAATTGAATTATGGGTTTGAGGCGTTAAAGGGTTATGGCAATTAAAGACACATTCATCTAATTAATCGTCCATTTCACTTGTTTATGTTATCAGGAGAAATTGAATCAGAGGAAGGTGAGTAAAGGATATATAAGTGTTGGTTTCTGCTTTATCATATATTCCGTTTATTTACATAACAACGCTTTTCTAATATCAGAAAGCCAGTTACCTCTTCATGATGTGATAAGAATGAAGACTTTCTTTGTAAAACTGAAGACGTATATCTTATTGCATCTGGTCGATATTTATATGTTAAGATCTGATTATGACGAAGCAGAGAAAGTAGGTTTTAAGTGCATGTTTTCAATACTATTAAGAATTGAAGTTAGTCATCTTCTACTGAGCTTTATTTAATCGAGATATATTCTATTCAATAGCAACTAGCAGCTCTATTCGATTGGGCGTCAAAATATGGTCTATGGTCTCATGTTCAAGTGTCTGCCACACTTGCATTGGGAATGATAAATCAATGCGTTGGCAAGTTTAGCGATGCGTGGGATTACTACCGAACGGTTGAGAAGGTAGTGAATTGAAAACGCAAGGGGTTCAAACGCAACTTGTGCCTAAATTATTAATGTATTCTTCCCTATCGCTTCTAGACAGCCGAATCGGTATATGTTAGAACACTCGCCAAGATTAATAGATTCTTAATATTATTTGGTAATTCTAACCACGATGATGAAAAGCAGAAACAACAGGTGTGCTTATGATGTCTAGTGTTGCACGGCGTGATATCTAAACATAGACTCTTGCTCATTTAACGTTATTATTGTGCATTAGATAAATTTTCTGCTTAACGAAATAAGACAGCCAATAACAAAGGAACTCAGCAATATTGATGGTTTGAGGGCAATACTACAATTATTCGAAGCATTGGTTACTAAAGAACAGGACAGGGCCAAGTAAGAATAGAGTTGATAAGAATTATACAAATTGTTACTGTAACAACAATGGTTAATGTAACATGTGTTTTCGTATTATAGGGAACGTCTATATGAAGCATTGAAACTTTCTAAATCGCTGTGTAATAATCAATTACAAGCGATAACGCTCACGGTCTTGGGGCCATTGCTATACAAAGCGCAGAACATCCAAGCAGAAAAGACACTGGCTGCCGCATATACGCTGAGCAAGCATGTAGGAAACAATGTACAGAGTCTCATATCAGGGCGACTATTGACAGGTAAATAACCGTAATACGGCTACTATATAGTTTTGTCACAGCGTTATACTCATGAATATCCCTTATATTGCTCAGATATCTATGTTCACCAAGGTCATCAACAACGATACTCTAAACAACTCTCGCTAAATCAACAACACGAACGCGCTATTAATAATCTCCTTAATAACTGGAGCATGAAACAAAAAGCTGTGTTGGACTTGGTCAATAGCAACAGTAGCAATAGCAATAATGCTACTACTGTTGATGTCGCTAACGGAGCTGCTATTACAAATAGTACGAATGCTGCTTCTGATACAAATCAGCAACGGCTTGTAAATGAAAGTAACCGAAGAGTTGGGTGTTAGAAGTGGAGTTTATGAAACATTACGGAATGATGGAATATATTAGCATCGATGTGTATGTATTTATTTAAAGATTCTTGTATTTATAGAATATATTAGAGGAAACTATAACTGACATTACATGAAATACATGATATTGAAGATATGCTTTTGTAGAAAAAAAAATGGGTGTGTGCGCGTGTGAAGAAAAAGGATTAACGTATGTAAGAGGGGACGGTATACAAATACATATATATAATCTAAGAGAAGAACTAACTGTAAATTGATTTATTCAGTAGGCTAAAGTAGATGTTGGTTGCATAGATGCACGTGTATGGATACACAGAATGATGCATGTAAATTGTACATTATTCATCTAAACTAATAATAATATCAATAATGCTAACTAACAAATGTCAGTGTTGCTCATTACCATTATCATATCATAGAATATCAAAACAAACAAAAGTTACGAGACATTGAAACCAAATAGCACAATACCGTAACAGCTCTGACACATTCACAAGAAATATAACACATTCTCCTATTATAACAGTAAAGATTCCTCGTAAGCACGCACAGTTATCGTCAACACAAGTATAACACCATGTATGACTCACCGGTCTCTCAGATGCCATGGGTCTCGAACTCTCTCTATCATTCTCGGGCGCAGCATCAAACACGTTAAAAAATCTCTCTCCGTTGACGCCGACTTCTAGTATGGATGCCATATTACCACATCTATAACAGTAATTCGGAGCAGACCAGACCGTTGATAGACGGTCATCGTAGAGAACCTGAACGCGTAATACGAGAAGCAATAATTATAAAGAATTGATATAGAGTCATGAAGCTATATCATACAGGTTGATCATACAAGTTAATAACACATACCTGATATCCTTCCATACAAAGTTGATGAGCGCGTAGTATATGCTCCATGCTATTTATATGAAGGAACTTTTTCACTACTTCACCACCGAAAGTGTAGCCCGCTCCTCTGCATAATAGCAAGTCAATTAAATATGATACAACCGGTCAAATAACACTTGTTGGCGTAATAATACCTTGGTGATATTGCAAACTCATCTTTATCCTGGTCTGGATCAGACCATACGAGATCGGCCATTGGACCTTCATGCGGGATTTCTAATGGACGTTACATGAACAATAAGTAAGACTGGGAATTATATGCATAAAAAGATTTCAGAGATTTTCTCGAGAGATACCGCATCGATAAAAGCTGCACAGCCATACCTCTGAATCTGTCCAGCGTCTTTATTTGATCAATGCTGTGTATTGAAGGTGAAAGACCTGTGTTACGATGAGAATAAACGTCAATGCAAGTTTTAAAACAGATTATCATCATCACTAGACAATAATCATATTTGATAGCTCATGAATTCCCCCTTCACCTCCATGCACGCAGAATATCTTATCATCAATAACAACAGACAATGTTAAATAATCAAACATGTCTGTGAAATAATGCCAGACATTTGTATTTCCATACTTTCTAACGCATTCGGTATAGAATCCATATGTCTGTCAAAAAAAAAAGAGCAAGCGTTAATAGGATTTTCCATCACGAGTTTACTGCAAAGATTGCCAAAAAAACATGCCCTTAAAAATTTTGCAAGCCTCAACAAAATCCCCCCCTCCTTTTTTCTCTCCCAACCCAGCCCATAGCCGTAATCATCAGCGCAAGTCTCACCTGAGTGACAGCACGCGACTCGTGATTACCTCTAACGAGCTGCACTCTTTCTGGGTATCTCAGCTTTAAACACGTCAACAGAGATATAGTCTCGATACTAAACAACCCCCTATCAACATAATCACCTATAACAACAAACGCATTGTGAGTAAAACGTTCAATAAATAAAAAGGATTTACGTTATCCAAGTGAATACCTAGAAAAAGATAATTGGTGTATGGACAGTATCCGCCTATACGAAATATCTCAATCAAATCATAAAACTGGCTGCATGCGTGCGAATAAAAGAAAAAAGAAAAGAATAAGATTAAACTGAACGCGTCTTCAATGTGTACATTCAACCACTCTTTTCGCTCTCACTCTCACTCTTTTTCTTTTTACCCATGGATATCACCAACCACAGTCACAGGAGCTGATATATGGATTACATTACTCTCGCGCATTAGTAATTCCTTGGTTTTCTCACAAATCTCTTTTATCAGAGATTCCGCGAGGAGCTGTTTCTGTAAAAGTTGGGAAATACAAGCGTCGAGATCTAGACCCATGGCAACGCAGTGAAAAAAGTTTAGAGACTGATTCTTGTCGAAAATGTAGAAAGACATTTTACCACGTGACTGCGTTACACCATTGCTTCGCGGGATGATTGTGTTGATATCCATGGTAAAAAGAACAATATTTGTAACTGGACAGAGCATGGTTATAATCACATGGTTTTTCTTTGGTGACAATCTGTGAGCTCCAGACGTTCCTCGCTGCCATGCTCTTGAATTGCTTTTATCATTTTTTTTTAACATTCCGTCCGTAGTGCAGTGTTCTTGCTTGTCAAAATATATAAAAATCGAGTATATTAACAATGACAAGTGTCTAATCTTTACGTGTGGAACAGACCTGAGCTCAACTCTTTCTTTTTCGCACAAATTAGTATTAGTAGAGAATAACCCTTCTGAATGCGTTTTCTTATTGGAAATATTTTCAGTAGATTTATCCGCATGTTACGACGCGGATCTTCACTGCATGATCCACGTCTTGTATTATTTGTACATTTATGCAAAGTTAAACATAGACATTCTATGGACAAGTCATCTATATTTGGGTCAGAAAATTGTCCACAAATTTAGTGCGGGGCGAGGATACAAGCATGTTATAAAAGTCTTGACCATAATTATGACACATTTGCGTTATATAATACTCGTTGAAAGCTAAATTTATGTCATTGTTCTCAATGACAAGCTGGAAATTGACCCAATTAAATGAATTTGTTGTGTTAATGTTTTGCAGAAATTTATCTTAATCTTGGAAAGTCTTTTCAATAGAACTGTTAGACTATGTTACTCGTATTAGTGTGTTCAGATCATAATGTTGTTGGAGTTGCCATTCTTGCCAAGCATCTTATTAATTCCAAGAAACAAGGATAATGTGAGTCTTTTAATTTTTATTGCTAATTGTAATACATTATATAGTCACTTTCTTTCTGTTACTATTGAATGGCTGTTCGACTACGCTGTGTTTCATAATTGTAATGGGACAAAACCTTTCGACAGAAAAAAAGCTTATTCAATGAAACTTGTCGAAAGCGAGCAACATTCTTGAACTGTTTGATAAGGTTTCTGAGTATTAGTATGAGGGGGGGTTTTTTTCATTGGTATGAATATTTATTATTTTGTATTAGTATTTGTTTATTGGCTAAATTTTACAAATGAAAGAAATAAGGCAGGTGAGCCAGTAATATTAATATATTGTCACCTCAAAAAAGCCTCAAGCACAAAGGTGAGAACCTAACTTGATGAAGCAAAAATAATAATTAATCTCTGTTATTATTATTATTATGCATTTTTGATTTAAAATCACAAGTCCAACTTGTCAAAATTAATTATGTTTCCGGTTATTTTTACTTGTACGTTTTTGGTAAGACCAATTGCCCGTAATTTGCGTAAATGACATGAGAGTTGGATTGTTACTTATAGTCATATTACACTACTAAAGACAGGAACTATTTACACTTTAACTCTCGTTATCAATCTCGCATATTAATTACGTAAGACCACAGTGAGAATCATATGTACAGCTCCTAACTTGACGTAATAGTAAATTGCCGAAACAGTTGTTTGAATGATTGTGCCGCAATTAAAATGATGTTATTGGTTACAATGCAGTGGTATGAAACCGACGCCCTATAACAAGTTTTAAATTGCAAACATAATTGACCGCTCCAATTCCAACAGAATGAGGGGATAACAATAAACGTCTCGCCTATTATTATGCACCGTTTGACCTAGCTGACAAGATGACAATGTTTATTGGCTAGTCAAATTGGTTCTGCTGAATACGTCTTTGTTGACATGAGATTACGATGACATTTGTCATTATTATTGTCAGTTATGTATGAACAACGGAATTCTAAATTTATCCTCTTTACGTAAATGATGATTGGTTAATAACGAGTCAGTTCACGCTGTTGTTTATACGGTATATCACCCCAGTTGTTGTTCTCCATCCAGCATTTACCGCTTGCCTTTATTTGCCATGTTGGGTTCTTTATTCCATTTGGATCAGTTTCACAAATAATAAACCACTAATCCATAACGTCAACATTCACATGTAACTCGACCTGGTGTACAGAGTATTACAACAATGAATTGTACTTCATCTCGTTTATGCATAATTAGCGATGGCAAGCGTCATTGGTATATGCGATAAACCCAGAAAAAATGAAACATCTGGCAAATTGTGGCTTTTGCTATTATCTCTGGTTGTACAGAAACTTGCATTGTACGGGTTATGCGGAAAAAGAAGAAACATTCATTGGTTTGGCTGAACGAAAAAAAAAAAAAAAGTATATCGTTTTGCGTTGGTTCAAAGGCATATATATGGGCATGGTATGTATGACATGACGCTTTGTTGAATGAGAGCACAACGTATTTGCTTCACCAGAGGTTTGCTAAAAAGCGGGTATTAAAAAACGTAAACGTAAGCATCGGTAAGGTGCTGTTTTGGCATTTAAAGCAAATCATTCTTTAACTTGTTACCGTTTGCACGTACCTGAAACATACCAGATTTGCTCTTACTCCTTCCTCCCTCCTTCTTCCTCCCTCCCTTCTTCCCTCCTTCCTCCCTCCCTTCTCCCTTCTTCCCTCCTTCCTCCCTCCCTTCTCCCTTCTTCCCTCCTTCCTCCCTCCCTTCTTCCCTCCTTCCTCCCTCCCTTCTCCCTTCTTCCCTCCCCCCCCCCTTTTTTTTATGATCGATCTAACGATAAATTTGCTTTCATATAACTTGGATCCCTAGTCGCTTTAACTGCTAACGTTCAAGTAAACATGTCAAGGAGTTTTTGTGTTCTGTTACCTATATTTCTTGGCTTGCATGGATATCCGAATGACACGAGTGTGCGTGCATCAAACATTCAAGAAATACTATTGTTAGGGAATGCAAATCATCCATAGATTTAGTTAGTAATACCAAGAGTTGCATACTTAAACTGTGACTTACACTTGAACTTTGACTATAAAAGAATTAGGATAACTACATATTAATATTGTTTATTATTATTAACCGGTGTGGGAATTAATCTCCTGAAGAAAAGGAGGATGGCCGTTTTACTTTCACAGTTCTTTCGGGCAAGTGTTAACGATCATCAGTGGTGCATATTACAGCAAATTGTTACCTTTTTTATTGAGAATATTATTAATTCGGTTTACCAATCCAGATTTTAATTTGGATATTTTTATTTTTGATAACTAATTAGCGGGGTGTGTGTGTGGTGTGTGTTTAGTGTTCTCTCCTCTCCTCTCCTCCTCCTCCTCCTCCTCTCTGGGTTGAACATATCAGTTAATCGTCACGTGGTATTTATAATAGTATCATTTACACATGATATGACTAGAAAAGAAAAGAGAGTTGGATATTCAAAATAGAGAAGTAGTATATATCTCAAGTGATCCAAGTCGAATGAATTATTCGTATTATCAATAAATGTTACATTAGCGATCGATCCATTAATCCCCAAAGCGATCATTAACATCTTCATCGCTTCTTTGCTCACCTACACAACAGACATCAGACATCAGCCACTTTATCCTCAAAAAACAAGAGGTAATATTTTTATAATAACATGCAAGAGAGACAAGCCTATACAAGATTGAAAAAAAAATAATGACAAAAAAAATACTACTAGATAGGATGAGATAACACACTAATGTAAAGATAAAAGACAAAGACAGACACCAAGACCTATGAATGAATAACAGAGTACATTTAAAGTGGATTTTTGAATTGTAATTGATTGGATCGAAAAGTGATAAGGAAAAGAGGAGGGGGAGAAGGAAAACGAAAAGAATTATACAAGAATGAGCCCAAAGATATGCAAAATAAAAAAAAAAGTCCAGGTTACATCTAATAAAAATAATGCTATTCAAACGATCCTTATATAAAAATAAGGTTCTCGAGTAATCATATATACTCGAGAAACCATAGAAATTACAGACTGCGGATGTTATCAATTCTAACAGCTTAGATACACTATCCACAACAATCTACGAATAGTTCTTCAATCTCATATGTATACATTTCTAAGCGCCTCCTCAACTTTTTCTTCCTTAAACTCCCCTCCCACAAACATTAAACTGTATAACGTAGAGATTGTGTGTAACTTACAGAAAGTTTTCTCCTTCTTTTCTACGTCCAATGACCCTATCGACTCCTTTTCCTTTTACCCTTCGCTCATTCTTATCCCTGTTTTTCTCTCTGGACACTGCATTTCGCACTTTTTCCTCGTGTTCCCCTCCCACATCTAGTAATATCTCCTCATCACCCTTTAAAAGCTGGCAAGAAACAATTCTAAATCTCGGTGCCGCTTCAATCATATCCTCTCCATCATCGCTCATAGCGTCCGAAGAACTACCAGCGTCTTGTCCTGACGCCGATCCACTTCCTTCCGATCTAACATTTCCTCCCCGAAATGAGAACGAACTGATACCGTCTTCATCCTCCTCGGCAATTTCATCTAACCGCGGAGAGCTTTGCTGTTCGCGAAGAGAGGGGGCGGTTGCAGATGGACCGCAATCGTCCTCATAATAACTCAGCACTGATTGCATCGGTGACGATGGAAGCGTGCGACTCAGGAGATTTGAATCTTCATCGGGTAAACATGATGCGTTTTGACGTCGATAGGGAATCGGAACGGCCTGCGTTGTTGAGGTCGCAGATGATATTGAGGCCGGCGTTGAACTTGATTCTGTGGCCGAATATGATGAGTTTGTAGAAATAAGTTTTTGCGAAGAAGTGTCTGGATTTTGTAATATTTTGAACAGTTCCGTTCGCTCAGGTCCGGTTAATTCACTCAATCTTTTTCCATTAATTGTGATAGAGTCAAGAGAAAGAATCCCAGAATTAGACCGTGAATTTGTGGATTCTGTTTCTTCTATCTTTTCTTTTCCTTCACTTTTTTCACCATCTTCATCTTTTGATTCACTCGGCTTTGTTGCATCCTTATCATGTTCTGCCAAGACTTGTTCCCAGTCTACCGAGTTGTCAATAGCATCGTCTAGATTAGCGTAGCTTCGACATAAAGGACATAGAAATGCGGGATGATTCGTCAAAAGGGGCCGTATACATTTGTAGTGAAAGACGTGCGAGCATGGAGCGAGGAAGAGTGCTTGACATGGGCCGATGCCGCATAGACAAATGCAGCAATCTTGTGTTTGGTGTTTAAAGGCATCTGGACCAGTTAGGGCTTTGAGTTGTTTCATTGCGTTGATGCTGGTGTTGGAGTGAATGTGTAAAGTGTATTATTAGCGCAGCTCGACAAACACATAAATAAGAATCGGCATAGCCGTAGGGATACGGTACTATGCACCGGTTCTGTGAATAACAGCATATCTTTCATCCTCTCTCCTTTATTCTCTATAGCGCTGCTCTCGCATTCTCAATCACCACCACCACCACTCTTTGTTAATATATCTATGGTCCATTCTTACCTAAATTCATTAACCTTGTGTTGCCACGACCGATTTAATTCTATGCGCATCTTCACACATCGATATATTTCTATGAAAAAGACACGGTAAGAAGAGTTTAGATACATTAAAGCGTTCAAAATGTGTCCCAAACCCTAACCAGTACGCCCAACGACCCAACGAATACAACAGTAGCATTTCGATATTATTGCTATTCCAGTTGTCGCTTGCTATCCCGGTTATTCGATTTGCATTCCGACACTCCTAGTCACATTTATTTTTCACCGATTCACCTACCTTCTGTTCCGCCTTGGTAGTCAACTCCAAGCTGAACAATATCTCCATCTTTCAATGGGTATGGTTTGCTTTCCTGACCGGGTGCTGATAGTCGCGAGCGATTAAGGAAAGTACCCGAGGACGATTTTGTGTCTCTAATATAAAACTGAAAAAAAGGTCTGGTTAATCGTTATACATGTTTTTTTCGCATGCACAATGGTTTTTTACGTAGCGCCATACATATATTCCATACTATTATAATATTGAAACGTTTGGCTCTTTTTAATACTACGTTATTTCCATATAAATAGTATAATATTGTATTGGTTATAGCAACTTGGTTCACGCAACATATTCCAGTATGCACATCGCACCCAGCTACATTTTCCGCTCCCCGAGCTCTACACAGATGACCACCCACCCACCATACACCTTCTATACAGTAACCTATGTGCTTAACGGGTTCGTTAATAACCAACCTTTCCATTTTCGCTCCATATTTCAGCGTGTCCTCTGGAAACTACTTTGCTCTTAAATGTCACTCTATTGGGTAAATTGGCTTTATCCGTGAACCTTCCTATTTTAATGTTTGTACCGTCGGGCACCTCTCGTTCGATGATGTCAAATTGCAACGAGCGAGGACCCTCCACGTGGGGCACTATACGAATAGAAGGTGTTTGCTCCGGTTGTGGAGACATTGTTTTTTATCTAGTCGAGTCGAAGAGGAAATAACTTGTCTTCAGAAACGAGTATGTGAGTGTTTGTTTGCTAACTAGAAGTAATAGATTGCGGAAAAAAAAGCCAATGGGGCTGAACAAGGCAAAAAGACGAATAGTAAAATATGATAGTTTTGGGAACACAAGATAGGAGCAAGTGAATGGGGGGAGGGGCCGGGGTGGTGGGGGGGGGGGGGTATAAGGTGAGAGTCGAATTTGGAAACGTGTGGGATGATTTTATTTAGTTTGTTCGGCTATTTGGCTTATTATTATATGTTATTGTTGTTATTATTATTATTATTATTATTAGTTTTTTTATTAACTTATTATTAGCTGTTATATATATATATAGTCACAGTATCTCACGTGATTATCGACAATGAAGTTTCGGATGCAACCATTCTGCATTGTCATTACATGGTTAGACTGAAACAAACCAATATGGATATCAAGCAATTGAAAAAGGGATAGTCAGAGGTATCTGATGATATCATCTCTCCCCGAAAAAAAGTGCAGTCGGAGAATAATCAGCACATTCCAAACTTTAATAAATTGCTCAACGGCATCCATACCATAACGTCTTTTACATCATAATCAGGGCAAAAGAATCGACAAGAGCCACCATGTAGTTTCTACAGTTTTGAAACACCGCCCACATCGTCAATGACCCACATCTCGCTGTTCCTAATGAGCCAGACACTGATCATTACCCCATTCCAATATCTACGAGGGACAGCCCACACGTGTGATTACAGTGTTCATCGACAGCGCAGGCAGCTTTTATATGTATACGCATATATAAATACGTAATCCTCAATGGTTGTCTTTTTGGTTACAATTATACAACATTGGAAATTTTTTTTCTGTTTGGTGTTGGGTAATGTGACTATATGTAAAACAAGTACAGTCACAGCGATTGTGTTGCTAAAAAGTTGTATACATATGATACGCATACTTGCAGACCAGATAGATATCATATGTGATACAAATGATTAGTTTTATCGAGACGCATTCTTAGAACAAACATTCGGGATCAAAAACCTTAATAGTGAGAGATTTTTTTAATCTGTATAAATACTACCAGTCTCCTTGATCACGGGCTAAACATTACGCCACAAAAGGCAACATTTTACAGATAAACTAGAAAAAAAAACTTCTGGTATTCTCCCCCTTTTATTGCCCGAAAATTTGCTACCGTTATACAAGAAATTTAATATAAACATAAGTAATAGTAATAGCGTAACATTTCATTGCGACCTTTATTTGGTGGCTAAAATGTTTGTGGACAGACCTGGCACACCTTACTGGTAGCCCTGTTTGAAGATTAGGATTTTTTTCCTACTTGTGCACAGAACTCATTCGGACATGTGCACATTTATCCGTTGATTAATAATTCGATATCTCATTAGAGTGGCAAGTTAACAACTATCTAATAATAATGGTTTCCTTTTCGGGAATATTTACTTGTTTTTGCCGACACCTCCGATCTCAATTTTTACAACCTTTATATTCTGAATTTACATGACAAATGGTATTAAACGTAATAGTAATGTATTATAAGTTGTACAACCAAAAAAATTGGGTGTTATAAGAGAACGAAAATAAGTGTAAAACAGCTTGTTAAAATAAATTAATATAATATTTATGTTGTCTTGTTTTTTTGCAACACGTTTTCACAAGTCAAAAATGCGAACGTTGCCCTACAAAATTTTTTTACGTCAAAACTTTTATCAATAAGCCTTTTTAAAAACTAATAGACAGTTCCTACTTTGTTGAAAATTGCAACCATAAAATTCAAGGACATAAAATCAAGACAATTGTTTTAAACTATACCATGCTGCACTTTACTATTTTCTGCAAACTGGATTCGTTATTGTATTTATCCAACTTGATGTTCTTAACGTTTAATGTATTATTCATAATTGTTATTATGTGTACATTCAAATTAATATTCAAGAAAAAGTGGAGGCCCAGCAAGGTTAGGGAATGTAATGCATGTTTAGAAAATATTGCCGTGCATAATTTGTGGCAAACTGCATTATTGTTATGGGTTCTCATAATAAGTAGCAGTATGTCTGTGTGACTTTCTGTAATAAACTTTTAATAGCCCAAAATAACCCATTGCATACAAAGTTCATATGTGCATGCATTATAAAATTAGTTCAATATTCTCAAAAAATAGAAGTCATGGTAATAGTGCTATTCTTGTTCTGTTTTGTCACAAGTAATCTTGAAAGTTTTTTGCGCACAATATATATAGTAATAGAAATCCATTTTTCCCCGTATTAAAAAAAACTAATACATCAGAAAAGTTATGGTATAAAATTTTTTAATCTATTGAAAAAACGGTTAGAGTTTTAAAATAAAAAGTTTGAACGCATTGTTTTGTTTCCGATAAACGCAGTAGCTTAAAGCAAGTAAAGTTGTATATTCTCTAATCATGTAAAGACGATAACAACACGTGTTGAATGTCGTGGAAGAAGAATTATATAACTGCGAATTGAATTTTATTGAATACCGTTGACCCACAGAGAGCACATGGAGAAAATTAAGAACAAATTAATTCGATTTTGTAGTATTAATATACTGTCGCTGAGAATGGTACGTCGGAAATAAAAGTTTCTGTTTAATCCCGGTTATGTTGCACCAAGAGAAGCTTTAATTTGCAATATTTTCATTGTGGTTGCTATTTCGGACGGCGTAGTTTGAGAGTGCACCAAAATCCCATCTATTGGAGCAGTTTTTCTACTGGATTCTTTACGCATACTAAAACCCAGTGACAGATATCGTCAGCAAATACAACAGTCAAATACAATCGAGCATATAGCAGATGCAGAAAACACAAGTATAAATTGTACGGTAGTAATAGCGCAATTATATTACTTTTACTTTTTGCGATTTACAATTCTTTTTCTTGATATTACCCGAATAATTTACGGGGAAAGCGGTAAATAACGGAATAACACGGAAAAGTTGCCTCAAGATTAACAGGTAGATAGCAAAAGGAGAAATAGTTTCTTCTTTCCTAATTCATATGAACCTTTCCATTTCTTACCTGGAGAAGCACGACGACCGGGGTATTTGCAATTAACCATTTTATTTGAAGACAACTTCAGCAGGAATCGTCGGAAAAATAAACTGATGCCATTATAGTACGAGACATATGCAAGAATATGTTGCATGTTTGCTTCATTATAACACTGGTATTGCACGCATAATTGCATAAGATGAAAAATTTACTTGTATCAAATCCAAGTCGGAATAAGCTCTTTACAGATAGCCAATTCAGATCTGGATGCTGTTTTTCTAGTGCAATCTTTATTTTTCCTTCTTGCTGACGTTGTTGCATAACAGGGTTAAGTTTTGTAAACGACTTGACTCTAAATTTTAGAAATGCGGTTTCCCTTTTTGCAGACGGCTGACATGACGTTTATGAGAATATCGAAATTTTTACTATTTTGATGTCCATGGTTCCAAATGCGCTTTGACATTTGCAATAACAAAACATTAATAAGAAGGCCAAACAAAACAATATGTATATGACAAGTGACGCTTTTTGAATAAAGTAGACATAGGAAAAACGTGTATGACAAGTGACACTTTTTGAATAAGTAGACATAGGAAAAACGTGTTTGTTGTAATGTGAGTGGTTCTGAACTAAGAACGGCTGCGAGTGTCAACGTTGGCAGAGAGTTTGAAACCGTACAGAGAAAAAAATTCCAAAGCTTTTTTCAAAAGATGAGCATTATGTTATCAGTTGAATTTTATCATCACTAATATGAAAAAACAAACATATCTGGCTCGCAACGAAATTCTTATTTATTTCAGTAAAATGATTTCCATACATTAAAGCTATTTCCTAAGTTAACGAATAACATGTCCGTAATATATAAAACTATTAACCATAGCGAAATTTCTTAATGTAGCATTAGAAATAACTTGATTCCTTCATTAATACGAAAAATAAAGCAAATTAGAACCCAAGTACCCAGTAATTGACGTTGCGGAATCTTATAAACAGGAATTTGCCACTGCCATCGCGTTGTTCAGTACAGACGTTACAGTCATTTCAGGTACCATGTTAATTTTTACGACCCTGGTTTGCGTATCGGATATACTTTGTAGTTGGTTTGTTGCTAGAGTTAATTTATTGTAAATGACTGGATCGTTCTAATACTAATAATGAAAAAAAAAAGTCATGGTTAATCTTTTCTCAATCGTTATCAAAAATGATTATGCAAGATTTTACCTCATTTTCTCTAACTAGTATATGACACGTCTCGGCATTATTATTTCGTCTCGCTGCAACTAAAACTAAAGTACAGTCAACTCTCTCTATACCGGCGTGAGTGGTTTGGCAGTTTTTGGCCGTTATAACGCGAGACCGGTATATAAAA